CCAGACATGCTAGCCTGCTGCAAACATAGACCCAGGTCTGAACCATGTCCCCAAAAGCTGCAGATTTAACTGAAAACAGCTTAGGAAGTGCTCCTATCTCTAGCACCCAGACTCCCAGCTCCCAATAGGATTCAAACCTCAAATAAATCCATTTTACTCTGTATAAAGCTTATACATGGTAAACTCATAAGTTGTCCGCCCACTACAACTCTGATAGAGAGATATGCACAGCTGTTTGCTCCCCCGGGAACTACTTACTTACTCTGGGTTAATTAATAAGCAACAAGTTATTTTATTAATTATAAAAAGTAGGATTTAAGTTGTTCCAAGTAATAACAGACAGAACAAAGTAAATTACCCAGCTGAAGCATGAAGGGGCATACAAATGTTTAGCATATCTGGCATGTAAATACCTTGCAATTCTGGCTACAAATGCAAATGCCTGCTCTCACTTTCTAGTGACATTATAAATAAGAAGAAGGCAGCATTATCTCCTGTCAATGTAAACAAACTTGTTTGTCTTAGAGATGAGTGATTAGCTGAACAAGAAGTAGGACTGAGTAGACTTGTAGGCTCTGAAGTTTTATATTGTTTTGGTTTTGAGTGCAGTTCTGTAAAAAAACCCTACATTTGTAAGTTTCATTTTCATGACAGAGATATTGCACTGCAGTACTTGTATGAGGTGAATTGAAAAATTCTATTTCTTTTATCATTTTTTACAGTGCAAATATTTGTAATAACAATAATATACACTTTTAGTTCAATTACAGCACATAATACAATAGATATGGAAATGTAGAAAAACAACCAAAATATTTAATTCATTTCAATTGGTATTCTATTCTTTAACAGTGCGATAAAAGATCTGATTAATCATGATTAATTTTTTTAGTTAACCACCTGAGTGAACTGTGATTAATCAACAGCCCGAGTATGATGGATTGGGTCACAAAAAAAACCTTTAAGACTGTCACTAGATGTCCTGGGATATCACTGAGAACAAATCCCCCTGCCAGAGAAGGCTTCCCTCCACTCCTGTCTTGCTGAGTAAGACACTCCAGTCAACTACAGCACAGACCCAGAGGTTGGGCCACATCCCCCTGCAGTTCACTGAAACTGAGATCCGCTCAGCTCAGGGGCTTCTTAGTTAACAGAGACTTTCCCAGCACCCAGTATTCAGTCTTTCTGGGAGACTAAACCCCAAATAAATCCATTTTACTTTGTATTACAGGGTAAACTGTATTTTACAGGGTAAACTCATAAATTGTACACCCTCTATAACACTGATAGAGAGATATGCACAGCTGTTTGCTCTCCCAGGTATTAATTACTTACTCTGGGTCAATTAATAAGCAAAAGTGATTTTATTAAGTATACAAAGTAGGATTTAGGTAGTTCCAAGTAATAACAGACAGAACAAAGTAAATCGTCAAGCAAAATGAAACAAAACACGCAAGTCTAAACCTAATACATTAAGAAACTGATTACAGATGAAATCTCACCTCCAGAGATGTTCCAATAAGCTTCTTTCACAGACTGGACTCCTTCCTAGTCTGGGTCCAGCTATCACTCACACTCCCATAGTTAATGTCCTTTGTTCCAGTTTCTTTCAGGCATCCTTTGCAGGTGGAGAGGCTATCTCCTGAGCCAGCTGACAACAAAATGGAGGGGTTTCCAGAGCCTTTTATATTCTTTCTCTTGTGGACGGAAACCCCTTTGTTCTCCTGTGCAAAATCATAGCAGCACAATGGAGTTTGTAGCCACCTGGGCAAGTCACATGTCCATGAATGATTCAGCCTTTTGCAGGCCGACGCCATTGTTTACATGTTAGTTTGAACGTTGCCAGGAAAGCTCAGATGTGGATTGGCATCTCCCAAAGTCCATTTTCAGTTAAATGTTTCTTGACTGGACACTTACTGAGAAGAGTCCTTTCTCAAGAAGCTGTCCAAAAGCTTCACTGAGGCTACTTAGAATCAAACACATTGACATACAAGTACATAGCCAATATTCATATCTTTGAATACAAAAATGATACACACATACAGACAGCATAACCATAACCAGCAAACTACAACCTTTCCATAGACACCCCACTTTACCTCCTCTGTACAAGACCTAGTGCAACCATAGGACCCTCATTGCAGCAATGATCTATATGGTCACAGTTCATGTCAATAACGTCACACCCAGTAATTAGGGGAAATTACAGCACCCATGTTCCTGGGTTCTGGTCCCAGCTCTTGGAGAGGAGTGGGGTCTACTGGGATGGAGAAGTGCAAAAGAAGTCAGAATACTGGGTTTCTTTTATTCTGTTTTTTATTGTGAGTGTCATGACTAGAACAGCCAACTGGGATTTGGGACTCCTCCTATGTTGTGTTCCCAACTCTATAGCTAGGTCATTGTGTAACCATGAGTGAGCCTTTTCACCTCTGAGGTAGATGCTTCTTCCATGTACAACAATGTAAATGCAGAGTAATTCCACTGCTTTCAATGAAATTACTTCACATTTACATGTACCTGACAGTCAACTCTAGCTGTCTGGTCTGCAGTATCCCTTCTGTAAAATGAGGATAAAATTTATTGAATTTTATACGTCTTTGGATGAAAAAGTTATACAAAGACCTACCAAGTAATTGGTCCTGATTATAATTTCCTTCACCATGGTGTAAATAAGAAGTAATCCCACTAAGTCAAACGGCCTGGTTATCCTCTCACTCAGCCCACTGTAAATTAGGAGTAATTCCACTGGAGTGAATGGGGCCCCATTTCCATGTTACATAAATCTTCACAAGATATGGATCTGATCTTAACTCAAGGAAATTATGGTGGTTTACACAAAAGGAGAGATATTTTACTAGTCTATTCCTGACCATTGTCCTTGTCCTTCCCTCTACAGGTAGCTCCTAATGTGCTGAGAAAGAAAATGTCCAACAAAACTACTATGACCAAGTTCCTTCTCCTGGGATCCTCTGATGCTCCAGAGGTGCAGATTTTATACTTCATACTCTTTTTAGTGATTTACCTGGCAGTCCTGATGGAGAATCTTCTTATCATCACAGCCATAGCCCTCGACCACCATCTTCACACCCCCATGTACATCTTCTTGATGAATCCATCCATCCTACACCGTGGCTCCATCTCTGTCACCATCCCCAAAACCATGGCTAATTCCCTAACCCACACTAGGTCAATATTCTATGCTGGATGTGTTGCCCAGGTTTTTTCCTCATCTTCTTAATAGGAGCCATTTTTTTTCCTTCTGACCATCATGGCGTATGACCGATACATCACCATCTGCCAACCACTGCACTATGAGAGAGTTATGAGCAGGAGAGCTTGTGTCCAAATGGCTGCCAGTGCCTGGATCATTGATAGTCTCAATTCTGCACTATACACTGGAAACACATTTGCAATAACCTTCTGTGGAGGCAACATGCTGGATCAGTTCTTCTGTGAAATCCCCCAGCTCCTCATGCTCTCCTGCTCTGACACATACTTTAGAGATGTTGGGGTTATTGCCTTTAGTGGGTGTTTAACTGTAAGCTGCTTTGTTTTTATAATTGTGTCGTATGTTCAGATCTTCAAAACTGTATTAAGTATCCCCTTGGAGCAAGGATGCCATAAAGCCTTCTCCACGTGCATCCCTCACCTCACTGTGGTCTCTTTGTTTGTTTTCACTTGCCTTTTTGCCTACCTGAAACCCATCTCCAGCTTTGCATCTGCTCTGGATGTCATGGTGGCTCTTTGACACTCCATGTTGCCTCCAATGATGAAACCAATTATCTATAGCTTGAGGAACAAGGAGATCAAAGCTGCATTGAGGAGACTGACTGGATGGATGTTATTCACCAAGAATTATTTGTCTGTTTTTCTCCACTAAATATTATTTTCCTTTATTTCTCCTGGTCCATGTCTGTAATTTCCATGACAACACAATTTATGTACAGAAGCGCTAGGTTCTACTTTTGGCTGCACTAATGCAAATCCAAATTAATTCCACAGATGTCAATGCACCTGGGCTGATTTATACCAGTAGAAGTCCTGGCCCACTAATGGAGTTAAACTGGTGTGCATTTTTTGGGAGGGAAGAATCAGGGTTTCATTCTCTGCCTAGATAATGCCTATTAAACTGCTTTGCCACTTATACCCATTTCAGGGTCACTTAAAAACAAGGAGCTTCATTCCTTTGTGTGTTTAAATCAGGAGTGGTGTCAAAGGAGTCAGACTTGTGTAAATCTGGTATATGGGAGAGAAGATTCTGACCTCAACATTTAGGTCTAGCTCCTCCGCAAATCAATGTAGTGCTATTGACTTTGATAGAACTTAATGAATTTACACCATTTGTGGATCTAGCCTATTGAGTTCAATAGAGCTACATCCATTTATACCAGCCAGAGACAGGACTCATTGAGTCCAATGCCATGATGCCAATTTACACAAGCTGTGGATCTGACATCTACAATTTAATATCAAGGAGCTCAATCTATTTAGTTTAACAAAAAAAAAGGTTACTTGGTGACTTGATAACAGTCTACAAGTACCTACACAGAAAAGAAATATTTGATAATGAGCTCTTCAGTCTAGCAGAGAGGTTTGTAACAGGATCCAATGGCTGGAAGTTGAAGGTAGACAAATTCAGACTGGAAATAAGGCATAATTTTTAAACTTTATTTTTATTGTTTTTATGTAAAATATAAACACACAACAAAAGAAAACGTATAAATACATGCATGAGATGGAAATACAATATAAATAAAATTCAATGTTCATTATTTGTAAAACTTGGAAATACAAAACAAAAACAAACAAACAAAAATCCCTTAACCCATAGAGGTCATGCGGGGCAGCAATTATTAAAATGACTTCTTAGATAAATAAATGAGTCATTTTTTCCCATTAATGTAGTTGTAGAGAGCTCCTTAAGCTTGTGTGTGTATGAGGGAGGAACTGCAGATTTCTATTTTCTCAAAATAACTCTTTTGGCCACTAAAATAGTTGCTGCAATCCATTTCTTAATGTTACCTTGTCATACCAACTCATCCGGCACCCCTGAAATACACAAGCTTGGAGAAGGAAAGATAGCAACACTGAAAGTTTTTGAGAGAGCCCTGAACATGGTGTTTGGAACACATGCCTTTTTGGACAGGTTGTGAAATGTATGAAAGGTTGGCATGGGCTGTTTGAATCTCCAACATCCACTGTATCTTGTCAATCTTGCCTTAAAAAAAATTCTGGAGTCCAGACATATCTGTTTAATATCTTGTCCTGGAAAAATCACAAGGACAAAGAACTTGAAGTATATTTCACATTAAGCCAGATATCTTCCCAGGCTTCTGTTGTGATAATAAATCTAAGTTATTTCTCCCATTTTTCTTTGAGACTGTGATTAGGAGGGTAATCCAAACCATTAAGCCACCTATAAGTAATTCCTACAAATTGACTTTTCTCCCATACTAACGGAACACAAGGGTGCAAACTATTGCCAGTAATGTCAATGTTTGTCTGATGGGGGCACATGTCCTCTGAGAACTTCACAAAGATTCCCAGGTGGTTTCACACAGGCCACCACAAACCAATCAGAAGGTGCTAATTGAGTTTTCATGCTTCTGTCAACTTTGCTTCTCCTGTCCCTGGGGGAATGGCCCCTATGCAGGGAGAGATGGATGCAAGACTGGATGCTGAACACTCCAGAGCTTAGAGATGATTATTTCTGATGTTTTTGTTTGTCCAATGAGAAAGAGAGGGGCCATTTGGAAAAAGGTGGTCATTTTTAACACTAAGAGAAATTAACCATTGGAACAATTTACCAAGGGTGGCTTTGGATTCTCCATCGCTAACAATTTTTAAATCAAGACTGGATAATTTTCTAAAGGATCTGCTCTAGGAATTATTTTAGGGAAGTTCTGTGGTCTATGTTCCAGAGGAGGTCATACTACATGATCACAGTGGTCCTTCTGGCCTTGGAATCTATGAATGTAAAAAAAAAATTCAGCCTTAGTGATCTAATCAGCATCAATGACATGGGCAGTGGCAGTACATGCTCTCTCAAGCCTGGTCCATATATTTTTTCCATCAACCTAGTCATATCATATCCTCAATCCACCCCTTTGGGGACAGCTTAGGTGAATAGATGGGCCATAGTACACATCCTGAAGATGAGCAGACTTGGCTGTAGTATGAGAAGACAATTCCACTGTCAATGAACCACCCGTTGTTTGCTCAGGTGCCTCAGGAGATTGGAGTTACACCGGGGTATAGATTACCAGATGAGAGGATAGACTTTGCATCTTGATGGTTGTAATAAGGCCTAACTTCTGGAGGTGTTACTATTGTGTAGACAAGATTTTGCCCTGATAGGAGATAACTGGTGTGGCTGGAGTCCCGGGGAACCAACTGAGGTCACTCAATTGGGGTGAACCACAAAGAATGGGGCAGACAATCCCCAAAGCCAGTGGATATTCCAATACTTAGATTTACCAAACCAGCACAAAACAGCTTCTAAATTACCTCACTGGTTGCCCAGAAGCCAACAACACAGTTCCCTTAAAGTAATCCAGCCTCAGGCCTCCACCTGGACAGCCAAATCAGGTCTGATGAGGATTACTGAAAATCTTATTAATCATAAAACCAAGTTCTACCAATCCTAAAGGATCAGATACATTGCTTCCCAGGTTAATCTATATTTCAGATCTTACTCAAATACATGCTTACAGCCAGTTCTTATTAACTAAACTAAAATTTATTTAAAAAGAAAAGAGAGAGAGCATTGGCTAAAAGATCAGTATACATACAGACATGAGTCAATCTTGAGGTTCAGATTCATAGCCAAGTTGGCGAGCTTTGTAGCTGCAAAGAGTTCTTTCAGAAATAGTCCATAGGTTATAGTCCAATGCTTATATTCAGGACAGCCAGTCCAGGACTGGGATCTCAGTCCTTGTGGCTTAGGCTTCCCCAGCATGAAACCTCAAGCAGATCTGAGATGACAGGATCAGGACCCAAGCCATTTTTTTAATACAGTCTCAGGCCTTCTTTGACAGCTCAGAGTCCTTCAGCAAACAATAGGCCTCATGGGGACTTTGAAGTGGACCCATTTCCTAAGCATTGCTGATAATTATTCACAGGTGATTTGCTATCAAAGAGAGATGAATACAGCGATATCCTATGTTTACAGTTCATTTAAATGCTAAGATGTCTTTTGATCTCTGAATTAACAGAATACAGCATAGACAGGGACTGTTTGATTACATTGTTGATCACTACCAAACACAAACATTATCTCCCCATATGTTTTTAAGGGTTGAATTTGAGTCATTCATCCTGCAGGATGCTTAACCCTTTCTGGTCGTGCATCACAACTGGACATTGGTATTTACTGAATTATACGGCAATACTTTACAAAATTCAAAACTTGTGAGCTACACCATTATTTATGTCTCCCAGAAGCTTGAGTGAGTTCTTACTCACTGTCATTTGAAAGACTGAATGAATATAAGGGTGAAAAAATGTTTTTGTAAATAGCAATTTACTTTTAAAATAAATTTGATTCACCTTAATGGACATCCCCTTTGTGTTTATATTCACTGAATATTCCAGGAAAGCAGACATTAATGAACTTGAAGCAACTGGGGTAGGATTTCCAAAGAGGCCCAAGTTAGTTGCTGAACTCTTCTGAAAATCAAGAGAAGTTGCATTCTAATTACCCCAGGCCCAGCTGAGGATCTCATTCATACCTCCCAGTTTAAAAAAATATTTAAGCATGAGTTGAACTTAAGCCTTCCTTGGGACTGCTCACACATGTAAAGTTAAACACTGGCTTAGGTGTTTTTCAATATCAGTTCAGAATATTCCAAGGAGTTGAGTTTTAAATGCCTAATCATAGAGTGTTTGGACAATAAGCATTTTTAAGAAAATTGTTTCTAATGCACCAATACATCCAATCAGGGAAGAGAAACAGATCTTGTTAAAATGTAACCAGTCAAAACAGCTCTGCTTTTATCTATGGCATATTTGGAATATACACCCATGCACAAATATAGTATGCTAATTATTATTATTAGTAGTATTATTAATAATATTAATAATCTTGTAACCCACTTATGCAATTCAGGATTCCTTTAAACAATAGGTGATGCACAGGGAGGGCATGTGGGGTCAATTTCCCCCACAGAGTTCTGCTTGGCCTGCTGTGGGGAGAGGAGTGGGACTCCCTGGGCCCACTGCAACTGCATCCCAGCACACTCAGCTCCTGTCTCTGGCAGCCGGGTCTGGGACAGGGGAGTGGAAGGGGTGGGACCAGCTGCTTCTCATGCTGTTCTCAAGGTTGCTGCTACAAAGTCACTCAGGGTTGCTGTTTTGTACAGAATGGTGGCTGCCTGAGAGAGAGCCTAGCTGGGACGGCAGCCCATCCTTGCCTCCTATGCTCCACAGTTGGGCCTGGCTGACAGGGAGAGGGAACGAGCGAGCCGGCAACATGTTGAGGGGGAGGTGAAGCAGGAAAAGAACAGAGCTCCCCCCCCACACACAGATAACTCTGGTAGTATGGGGAGAGCACAGCTTCCATGGGCTGGGTGCAGGGCAGGGGGGTCACTGGGCAGAGGAGAAATGTGGGGAAGTCATGTGTCCTCCCCATAAGATTGTGCCCTCTCACTATCAGGAGGCACAAATTGTCTATGCTTTAGACACGTTCAGATCCTTGTGTGGCTGGAAGACCATTGGCTAAATCCTGTCTAAATCCTAACCATTGTGGTTACAGGGCTAGCTGCACATTTGACTCCTTGTCTGATCTCAGTGCACCTCCTCAGGTCTTGGACTCATGCCTTCCCCTCTCTAAGGGTCAAATCATGAGAATCTCCTGCTGTCAAACTGTATTTGGCACTGGTGCAACTGCTGCTGGAATGATGAGTCTAGTTTTGGTGCCCACAATTCAAGAAGGATGTTGATAAATTGGAGAGGGTTCAGAGAAAAACTACAAGAATGATTAAAGGATTAGAAAACATGCCTCATAGTTAGGGCCCTACCAAACTCACTGTCCATTTTGGTCAATTTCATGATCATAGGATTTTAAAAATAGTAATTTTCATGATTTCAGGTATTTAAATCTGAAATTTCATGGTATTGTAATTGTAGAGGTCCTGACCCAAAAAAGGAGTTATGGGAAGGTCATAAGGTTATTGTTGGTGGGGTTGTGGGACTGCTACCCTTACGTCTGTGCTGCTGCTGGCGGCGGCACTGCCTTCAGAGCTGTGCAGCTGGAGAGTGGCAGCTGCTGGCCAGCAGCCCAGCTCTAAAGGCAGAGCCGCTGCCAGTAGCAGCACAGAAATAAGAATTGCATGGTATGTTATTGTGACCCTTACTTCTGCGCTGCTGCTGGCAGAGTGCTACCTGCAGAGCTGAACACGTGGCCAACAGCCACTGCCCTCCAACCTAACCAGTTCTGAAGGCAGCACACAAGTAAGGGTGGCAGTACCACAACCCTCCTAAAATAACCTTGTGACCCCCTGCAACTCCCTTTTGGATCAGGATCCACAATTTGAGGAACTCTGTTCTCTCCGTAAAATCAGCATAGGGTAAAAGTGCACAAAAGACCAGATTTCATGGTGGGAGACCAGATTTCATGGTCCATGACACATTTTTTCATGGCCGTGAATTTGGTAGGGCCATACTTATAGTGATAGACTCAAGGAGCTCAATCTAGCAATCTTAACAAAGAGAAGGCTGTAGCCCTTTATTCTATTTAATGTTAATGTTAATTATACTACAGTGGGTTCAGCTCTGGCAGCTATAATCTCAATATTCAAATGAGAACTTTGAAGGCCGAAGTGGAGAAGGGTTCCATGTGAATAGCAGTTCAACATGGGTCAGTCGGTCCTAAGAGAAAGGGGAGCGCCATTCCGAAGGGACTGATATAGACAGCAGGATGGTGGCCATGGAAGTTGGAATCCGCTAAGGAGTGTGTAACAACTCACCTGCCAAATCAACTAGCCCTGAAAATGGATGGCACTGGAGCATCGGGCTCATACCTAGCTGTCACCAGCAATGAGAGCCATGGGGGCTATGCCACAATGAGTAGGAGGGCCGCTGCGGTGCGCCTTGAAGCCTAGGGCGCGGGCCCGGATGCAGCTGCCGCAGGTGCAGATCTTGGTTGTAGTAGTAAATATTCAAAGTTCAACAGAGTTTTCTCTGTTAGTTCTAGATCTAGAGCCCATAGTAACACATGAAATCATAGACAAGTAAAACATACAATCACAAGAACATCTACTTTTATTAAAAAGCAACAGAGGGTCCTGTGGCACCTTTGAG